ATTTGGGTCAAACTTGGGATTTGGGTCAAACTTGGGTCTAGGTTGGGTTTGGATAAGGGTTTAGGTCAAGTGATTGATCAATTTGGTGTGAATGATTGTCATGAGAAGTTTTGAAAAGGAATTGGGTTGTTTTGAATTGATGAGGAGGTTCAATTTGGGGGCATTTGGCTCATGGTCAATTTTAGGGCATTTGGGTTAGACTTAGGTTTGGATTGGGCTAGGCTTAAGTTAGGGTCAATTTATGGTTCAAATTAGCCCAAAAGATTGTCATGAAGAGTTTAGAACCACAATTGAGAGAATTTTCTAGGCTAGGGGTTCAGTCTGGGGGAATTTGAAGCTTAGGCTAATTTGGGAGTTCAAATCGGGCTTGAAATTTGGGTTTGAAATTGAGCTCAATTGGGTTTGAAATTGGTTTTAAATGGGCTTATACAAGATAAATTTGAGTTTAGAATTCAAATTGGAGAAATTTGAGATTAATTTGGTGAAAATTTGAGGTGATTTGAAGATTTTAGGTATTTAGGGGCAAAACTGGAATTTTAGTTAAAATTGGTCAATTAGATCAAATTGGACCCAATGGATGGTCAAGAAAGGTTTTAGGAGATATTTGGAGTGATTTTGGATAATTTAAGACTTTTTTGGAATTTTTGGGTCATGAGGGGCATTTTGGTAATTTTGAACTTTTTGGGAGTATTTTGGTAAATTTGAAAATTTTAATGTGTTTTGGGTAGTTTAGATGGTTTAAAGAAGGTTGGGGTAATTTTTGGACAAACTTACGTAATTTGGGCAATTTTGAGGATTTTAGGGTTTCAAAGGTAGTTTGGTAATTATGGGAAAGTTTATGGGTAAAAGGCTAAAATTGGGTATTTAGGTAGAATTGGGGTTCAATAGGATGCCAATCATGAAATTACCCTTCATGAGCCATGAGACCAAGGGATACCTCACTTTTGATCCTCCATGTGTTGGCCGTAGCCAAACCCTAGCCTAGGGCTAATATTTTAGGGGACCATCCACATGAGTTTCCAAAAAGATTAAGAGATCAACTAAGAAAATTTGGTTAAGGGTTAATATTGTGAGTGTAAGCGAGGGGTATCAAGTGTATGTGTGTGTGAGACATGACCAAGACCACATCACCCAAGGTCATCCCTAAGGTCAAACAATCCTATGGGGACTCCTCTTAAGCTCCCCCATATTGACTCCACCTACTAAGTGCTAGAGGTTAAGACCAACGTGTAGAACTTCAAGATGACCAAAGAAGAGTTTAGAATTTCTAATGGTGAGGGTATCATCACTAGACCATCGCTAGTCTTCAAGGAATAGTCAATAAGAAAGTCCTATTCATCACTAGTCTTCAAGGAATAGTCAATAAGAAAGTCCTATGGCTAGATCCTAGGCTTCTAAGGAAGAGACTAGACCTCAACCAAAAGTGAGGACAACAAATAGACCCCCAATAAGTTTGGTGTGCTGGGCAAGCACACCGCACGTATTGGCGTTGACCGAAGCGCTCAACAAACAAACACAACTTCCTAAGCCAACATGCTCAGAGCAGAGAAGAGAGAAAATGAAAAAGGGCTTCCGCTGGGGAGTAGACAGGGACTCGCGCTAGGGATCGGAAGGTAGGTTCTCGGAGATAACCATCCAGGATACCTACAGTCACGACGAAGATTCAATGTGATTTTAAACAAAAGATTTTAATTTTAGTTGAAATTAATTTGATTTAAATTTTAAGAAAATTTCAAAAATTAAGGCTGTGTGAAGAGACCGGATCGAAGTGAAAGGGTGTTAAATTGGGAAGGAAAGTTCTAAGACTCACATCCAACCCAAGAGATAGTGAAAGAGAATAGAACGAAGGCTTATCCCAAGGGAGTAGAACGGTGGCCTTGAGGAGTAAAACGGTAGTCTACGGTCCCGGACGGACGCCTACGGTCCCAAGAAAGTATAACGGAGGTCTACGGTCGCGAGTGCTGAGGAGGAAGTAGGACGGAGGCCTACGGTCCCGATAGAGTAGAACGAAGGTCTACGGTCCTGAGTGCTGAGGCGGGAGTAGGAAGGAGGCCTACGGTCCCAAGAGAGGGAGTAGAACGGAGGTCTACGGTCCCGAGTGCTGAGCTGGGAGTAGGACGGAGGCCTACTGTCCTACGGTCCCGAGGGAGTAAAACGGAGGTCTACGGTCCCGATTGCTGAGATGGGAGTAGGACAGAGGCCTACAGCCCCAAAGGAGTAGATCGGAGGTCTACGGTCTCGAGTGCTGAGATGGGAGTAGGATGGACGCCTACGGTTCCGAGCGAGTAGAACAGAAGTCTATGGTCCCGAGTGTTGAGGTGAGAGTAGGACGGAGGCCTATCCCAAAGTGCTAAGACTACTGAGAAGGGAGTAGGGTAGAGGCTTATCTCGAAATGCTGAGAACACGAAAAAACCTTTGGTATCATGTGTATAGTGTGAGTTGCAGAAATTCTCATATGGAACACGGGATGTGAGAGAGACATGGGGAATTCACTTATCATTTTTTATTTTGGTTATTATTAAGATTATCAAATTTGATTTCCTTCTTTGTCTTTAGATTTTGAATTTTAATCTTTATTTATTATCAAACTTCTTTTATATCGTTCCTTCTTCGTTATGATTTAGGACAAACACATGATCATGGGGCTTTTCATCAATCGTACAAAAAGGCGACTCAACAAACATGTTGAAATCTTGAAAGAAAACTATAGATGCTATAATAAGAATGAAAGTTCGACTCTTTTTTGTAATTTTTGATAATTTGAAAACAAAGTAAACAACTAAATTTAACTAAATTATTGTAAGATGAAAGCAATATAAATAAAATATCTTTTTCCTTATCATGAATCAGTAATAAGTATGTAATTCTTTTGAGGAAGTATCTAAAATTTTGTTATGTCAAATAGGAGCAATATTATTCTTTACCCTTACTAGATATGCCATGAAGAACATTGGCTAATTTAAAGTTTCAATAGTCCCAAAGAGGGGCTAGGTAGGGAAGATACTAGCTCTCACTCTAGAGTTTCTTCTACTCCCTCACCTAGGGGCTGACATCTCGTATCAAGACCTAAAATAATAAACCGAATGTCGAGCTTTAACTTGTCACATTGGGGTTTAGTCTGTCCCTCTAAAATTCTCTAACTCTACACCCTTCAAAGTTTATTTCTTTATTTATTAGTACTCAATCATATGAATTATATTATCATCCATACAATCTTATATGATTATTACCATTAATTAACTGAGACAATAAGTGTCGCTTAGGCGTCGTCTTCTCTGTTATCCTAGTGCTTAAACGCCAGTCATGGGCGCTTAGGCTGCTTCATTTGCACACCTTCATTTTTACTCTAAATTTAATCATTTTTCACTCATTTTACCATTTTTCATCCATTTGACTGTACCTAAAAGAAAAACACACAAATATTTTCCATTAAAGCACAATATCCTCAAAAATAGATATAAAAATTTATACAAAACAAGTAGAAATATGTAAACACGCAGGAAGTCTAAATTAAAATTAAATGTAGTCACAAAGATAAAAACTTAACTTAAATTTTTTTCCACCGAACTCTTGAAGTTCCTTTGAATCTCTTTTCTTCCTTTCTCTTTCAATAATCTCTATTAACACACTACAACTTCTCATTTTCTTCCCTCTAAAAGTAGAGTGGTAGAAAGAAGTCTCAAAGAGAGGGGCCGGCGGCGACTAATTGAGTCTCCCTTTCATTTAATCAAAGTCATTTCTATAATTTTTCAAAAAGTACTTTGATTTCTTCAAAAATGTGTCTACATTCAATGAATCTTCCAAAAGTTGCCTCCTTTCAATAGTCACTTGAATGTATTTTTGTGTCCATTAACCATAAACCACGTTTTCACCACGAGTTGCTTCAAACACCCTTCAAAAATTCATCTAAATTCATTGAATCATCAAATAACTACCTTTGACGATTAAGTGCAAGGTAAGTGTCGCTTAGGCGTCGTCTTCTCTATTATCCTGGTGCTTAAACGCCAGTCATGGGCGCTTAGGCTGCTTCATTTGCACACCTTCATTTTTACTCTAAATTTAATCATTTTTCACTCATTTTACCATTTTTCATCCATTTGACTGTACCTAAAAGAAAAACACACAAATATCTACCATTAAAGCACAATATCCTAAAAAATAGGTAAAATAGATATAAAAATTTATACAAAAATGCTATATATTTTATGTATATCAGTCTTCAAAAGCAACCCAATGTTTATTCAACCCAATCTGAGGCAAGGACAATCTAAATCTCTCTGAATGGGAATACTCCATTAGAAAATCACACTAAAATAACTCCTTAACAAATATAAGAGGTCAAGATTTATGATAATTAAAGAGAATTTCTAATCATTAGCCAATTCAAGTCGTCATTTTGTAGGGCTGCTGAAAAATAAATAGTCATGATATTTGATAATAAATATTTGAATGAAGGAACAAAATCATCTAAAAATAAATTTAAAACTGCACCTCAGACAGACATATTAAGCTATTTTTATCATGTAAACAACATCGATTGAAAAGACAAATCAACTAAAAGAATACAGCCTAATTTTTGAAACAAAAGATAATCTGTTCTTTTTATAATGTGATTAACAACTGAAAATAAAAATCAACCTAAAGAATATGGCAACATTTTTTAAACAAAGCATGAGAATGAGAGAAAGTCTGCACCAACTTGACTCACCCATAGTCCAATATATGTAATCCATATGGATTAAAATCAGTAAAATATTAAATATTTAATTTGACCAATTGCCTCATTAGCGGAGATTAAAAGCAATGATATTTTGTACATTATTTTCCTGTACAAATATTAAATAAGAAAGCCAATATATGGAAATTAGCAACTCAAAAAATAATAACTTCAATTTCTCTATTTATTAAGATCCAATCCAGAACAAAACAAATCCACTAAAATGGTACAAGTAATATATGTTCAAAGCAAAGGCAATTTATTCCTCGTTCAGTAGCAACGTACTAAAAAAATAAGTCAGGAGGAGGACAAAGTAAATATTGATATTTTTCTTTATTTATATGAGCCCCAACTCAATTCAGACCATCATGGATAGGCTTACAAAAGTTTAGAATATTACTTATCCAATAAAACTAACTTCCATGCAATACAAGAGCAAGGCAACCAGCACCTATCTCCCCTCAACATTGCATTGTTGAAACACCATGCACCGCTGAACCTTTTTTTTGGCAATTTTGTATGTATAAACACATTCTCAAATTCTTCTGTATTTATAAACACACAAGTAAATGAATAAATTATTATAAATCATTTGAGCACTTCTTATGATATCAAGCATTATTGCAATGCTAAAAAATTTCATGCTTTAAAACTCACAAGATGTATTCTGGTACTGAACCTGAAATCCAACCATAGTATTAATCCCCATTGTTCTTATCCCGTAAATCAAATTAGCCATCCCAGAAAATAGAATTCTCATTCATGCAAGAAAGAATGAACAATTTTGATAAATATTTCCAGTAGCCTGTTATTCTGTATCACTATAGCCGTTTGAAGCTGTTAGAATGAGCATACCCTCATTTCCCCATGAACTCTCTCTCTGAAAGCAGTTGGAGTAATTTACTATTGTTTGCTGGATGACCCTCTCTGATAAGGCATTCTGCAAGAGTAATATGGACAAGATCATCAGGCTTCACGCCCCTCACTAACATCTGATCAAAGAACATAATTGCTCTATTTAATTGTCCAGCTTTACAGTACCCATGTATGAGAATTCCATAGGGCACAACGTCAGGCAACAATCCCTTGCTAAGAGCTTCATGAAAGGCTTGTGAAGCTTCTTCTAAAAGACCTTCCTTGCACAAGCCATTAATAAGAACACTATAACTAACAATATTTGGGGAGATGTGATTTCTCAACATTTCTTCATGAAGAGCGATTGAATTTTCCATTCTCTGCATTTTGAAGTAGCCATCCATCAAACAGCTATATGTTACAACATTAGGCATGGAACCCTGCTCAACCAACTCATTAAAAAATAGCAAAGCTTCATCCAGCTTGCCTTCTTTACATAAGGCATCTATCAGAATTGTAAACGTTATTACATTAGGCTGAAGAGCTTCTCGCAACAAGTTTTGATAAAGCCTAATAGCTTCATTTATTTTCTTTGCAGAACAAAAACCACTAATCATTGTGTTGTAAGTGACAATATCAGGTTTCAAACCCTTCCGAAAGAGCTTCCCAAGCAGCTTCAGTAGCTCTTCAAGGAGTCCTTTCCTGCAAAGACCATTGATGAGAACATTATAAACATAAATATAAGGATGAGTGTTGGTTCCGTGCATCATGTCACACATCTTCATTCCAGCTAACACATTATTGTTCTTACAGAGGCCATCAATAAAAATGCAATATGTCATGGCATCTGGAATAAAACCAGTCTTCATCATCCTGAAGAAAAGCATAGCTGCTTCTAAAAACCTCCCTTCATTTTCCATCCCTTTGATAAGCAATGTGAAGGTGGCCACATCTGGTAACAGGTTATGCACTTTCAATAACCTGTAAGTCTTCAAGGCATTGCCTAATTTTCCCAATCTGCACCACCCATCAATCAAAGCATTATACACCATGATGTTAGGTTCTGAAACTGTCTTGAGAAGAAATCTAAGAGCATCCACTGTTCTCCCAACCTTGCACAAACCCTTAATAAGCAAACAATGTACAACCACATCTGGGGTGCAACCACTGACCATCATATGTTTATACACAATAAAAGCTTCTTGCAAATCACCTAAATTGCAAAACCCATCTATAAGGCTGCTATAGGTTAAAACATTTGCCTCAAGCCCTTGCTTCAGCATCCTCGAAAATACTCCAAATGCTTCAAGAATGTAACCATTCTGACTTAATCCATTCATCAGTGTGCTATAACTGACAACATTGGGTGCCACCTCTTCCTTCAACATTTTGTTGAATAGCTTGCAGGCTTGTTCCATAACACCAACTCTAACATAGCCGGCAATAAGAGAACTGAAAACAATAACATCTGGCTTTATCCCATGCTTCAAAACCGTCTCAAGTATCTTAGATCCCTCCTCTACTCTACCTTCCTTGCAAAATCCATCAATAAGAATAGAATACATTATCAAATCTGGCTTAATTCCTCTTTTCAACATTATCTCAAAAACTTCAGATGCATCATCTAATCTACCCTCATGACAAAAACAACGAACTATTATACTATAGGTGACCACAGTGGGCCCTGGTCCCTTCTCCACAACTAGACAGAACAAATCAAAAGCAGCAGAAAGTTGATTCCCAATGCATAAGCCATTCAAAAATCGATTAACAATGTAAATTGTAGGTAAAACACCCATTTCAGCCAAATTTCTATGAAAATTCAGCATCTTTACAACTTCCCCTCTCTCAAATAACAAACTCATCACGGTCAGATACCCATCATCCAATTCTTGGAAAATTTTCAAAATTCTACTCCCTTCATCTCTACCGAATAAAGGATAAAGAAATTCTTGAAGAAAAGCCCTATGGAAACTAATTGTTTTATTGGATTTCATGATAGCTCTTGTTGGTTGATGGACTCCAAAACAGGCCCTGAACAAAAGTATGATGAATCTGGTATCAAGCTTAGTTAACGTAAAAACCATTTAAGGAAGCACCCATCCAGCAGCGTACTGGAAATGCATAAAGTTGACATCATAAATCAAATTGAAGATTATTTCATTACACGCACCTTTTATGCAAACCACGTTCCAGTGCAGCATTTTAATAAGAGAAAACCAGTATATGCAACTCCAAGGAGAGAATAAAATAAAACAAACACTATAATTTCTTAAATCGAAGCTACCACAGAATGATAAAAAGATCAAGTGCAAGCTACCACAAAATGATAAAAAAGATCAAGTGCAATATAATGACATACACAATGCAATTCTGCAGGAAAAATGTTGCTGACAAGTATATGAAAAAACATGAAAAAAGGGATTGAAGTGGAGGACCTAGGGGAGGTCGGGCATGACTAAACCGGCTACGGGATTCAAAAGAAGGCTCTCTCAATCCAGCAGGAGGCTGGACTGGCCCCTTTCTCCCTCTTTCAATGGGCGGGAATTATTCTCCCCTTCCTTTTCTATTTTATCGCCTATATATCTATTATAAATATGTGTGCTTGCTGTTTTAGGGTTTAGTTTTGTCTTTCCGATTTCAAAATTATGTCCAGCTTATCATTGGAAGTTGTTTTCCCGTCTAGGGTTATATCCAAAAGCAAGAAGCGGCGCCGCCTGTAACTTGTCAAAGGTAGAGATCTTCTCCAAAGATTCTAGGGGTGCTCCAGTTGTAACTAGACATCATAAATCAAATTGAAGATTATTTCATTCCACAAAATTTTTATGCAAACCACGTTCCAGTGCAGCATTTTAATAAGAGAAAACCAGTATATGCAACTCCAAGGAGAGAATAAAATAAAAGAAAACAAACAACTATAATTTCTTAAATCAAACCTACCACAGAATGATAAAAAAGATCAAGTGCAATATAATGACATACACAATGCAATTTTGCAGGAAAAAGGTTGCTAACAAGTATATGAATAAACATGTAAAAAGGGATTGACTACGGGATTCAAAAGAAGGCTCTCGGTCCAGCAGGACGCTAGACTGGCCCTTTCTCCCTCTTTCAATGGGCGGGAATTATTCTCCCCTTCTTTTTCTGTTTTCCCGCCTATATATCTATTATAAATATGTGTGTTTGTTGTCTTAGGGTTTAGTTTTATCTTTCCGATTTCAGAATTCTGTCCAGCTTGTCGTTGGAGGCTATTTTCCAGTCTAAGGCTATATTCGAAAGCGAGAAGGGGCGCCGCCTGTAAATCGTCAAAGGTAGAGATCTTCTCCAAAGATTCGATGGGTGCTCCGGTTGTAACTACACTCCACGGGGAAATTTATCTTCCCCAACTTTCCCCCGGTTTCCAGCCACAAACCTCCAAGACCTCCTCCCCACCTTCCTATTGTACTGCTAACCATCTCAGTCCTCTCACAGCTGTCCACCAGTTGTTTCGCCTCACCCTAGCCGGAGAGTCATGTTGTGTTGTATTTCATTTTCCTGTTTTGAAACTTAATTGTAACCCTACAGTTTTGGTGCAATAAAATAAGTTTTCCTATCATAAGTTGGGTTAACTTTGGTATCAGGGGCATTGCATATCTTCCTAATAAGTATAGTTTCAAAAGCCAATAATACATGCCAGCTGGATTCTAATTCGCCAATTGGTATACAGCAAAAAGAAGGCAATTTCAATTATACTCTACCAGGACCCATTTCCATTGTTAACTCATGCTTTTGCATCAGGATTAAAGAAGACGAGATGTATTAAAGTATCACTCGAACACTATTGCAAATCAATCCTCCATTTTTAGGAAGAATTTGTCCAGTTAAGATTTCCAACTATGAAGTAAGAGAATTCTACACAAAAGGCTGTTTTATACAAAACAATAAAAAAACTTGTATTCTTTTCATTCCATGATATCAAGATTCTCATAAATTTTTTTACAAAAAATTAAATAACTAGAAAAGTTAAATTACTTTAATTTTTTCAAGGGACTCACAATAGCCAATAAACATTCTTATAGACAACACCTCAGCCACCACAATAATTCATCCATGAATCTGACATGAAATCTGTGGATTAACGGTACATAATAATACTTTCGACTATGGATTTATCTTTAAGATTTTCAAGTAGCTGCCAGCTGTTTCAAGCCGACATTAAGAATTCTCTTTCTCAGTTCACTTAAATTCTTGATTTTTAATCACTTAAAACGAACCAACTTTCAAATCTCTTATAAATTAAGCTTAAAATTTCAAATCTCTTATAAACTAAGCTTAAAATTTTCCCCTTCAGTCTTCAAATTATTTTCAAAATCACTTCAATACCCAAATTATTTAATCTTACACTTTCAAAATAACTTAAGCTTGTAATTTTTATACAAATTTATGTACATTCTTTGATAAGCTTACAATTTTTAGTTAAATTCTCATACAAAATAATAAAATCTTACATGTTATCATACATTCATAAACATATAAATGCATACAAAACCCATATAAATTTTAAACATTTTTATATATTTATCATATAAGGGCGCAAGTTACATTCAAAACATGCAAACACAAAACTTAACAATTTCATACAAATTTATGTATTTTTTTAGATGCCTACAACCTCGCACATAATTAACATAATGACAGTTTATCAGCATTTTTGTTGAAATTTTCTCAGAAAAATTTCAACTACAAATTACATGATTAAAGTAACAGTAACTACCATGATACCAAATATTTCCAGAAAAATTCAAATGGTAGCTATCCCTAACTTCTCTATACAAGACAATGCAATAATAAAAACCCAATTAACTCCTATCAATAGCATAAATAGAAATGACAAACAAATCACAAATCTTCTTTCCTTCATCTGTATAATTGCTGTTGTGCCTGTAACTGTGATGTTGTCTCTTTGTCCAACATCTCTAAATATTTGATCGTGTGATTCTATAGTAAGAGCAGGACCAACCACTTCTGCATTAACTTCTCCGGTGTCATCTCGTGCTTGATCTAGCTAAGTTCAGATCTTTCTTTCTCCTTGAAACTCTTCTTTTGGGCCATTTTATCTTGAATTCATTCTTATTTGAGGTTCATGCATATGAATGATTTCATCCAGAGAGCCGCGAAGAAATGCATCGGAGATTTCCAGTTGTTGTACCAGCCATTGATGGCCATTGATGATGGGCAGCTAGTGAGAGCAGTATTCAAATAATGGGCATTTTGGCGAATGGGCTGAAAATTTTGGTATATTGAATGCCTTGTTGTTGCTTGAAATCTTGTGCCACCAGACAAACTTTGAATTTGCTAGGTGTTCCATCCAGAGAGTATTTGGTCGGGTATGTCCAACTTTTAGCCAATGATGTTAGCATGGGGTGGAGGATCAACAAGAGCTTACACCATTGGAGATGTTGTGTTGCTTGTTGAAAGGTGGTAGGATCAGTTAGTAACCGGTTGATGTGTTGAGGTTTAGTATTTGATTGGGTTTAAGAGATCCGGTATGGAGTCCATTTGTCATGGGGTGTTTGGATGGATGTGGTTAGGATGGATGTGGCAATGATGAAGGTGAAGTGGAGGATTCAGATGTAAATGGATTTGTATCATTAGTAGTTGGGTGCTGGAATAGTATTCGTTGTAATGAAGGTAGCGATAGGTTCTAGATTGAGTGTAGATGTTATGCACGAAGCTGAAGGTGTGATAGTTATTGTGGTTTTGGCAAGATGTTGGGAAATTGGTAAAAGGAAATTTGGTGAATTATATTTGGGGTAGTGGAAGATTGGGAGGTTGGGTTTTGGTAGGGGAGGACAATTTCATTGAAGACAACATGTCGCTAGCAGTAGTATCCTTTATGAAGGGGTGGATAGCCACTAATTATGCATGGTGGGCTAGTTTGAGTGTAGCGTGGGGTTTTTCCAGGAGAAGCATAGGCAACCGAAAGTGTGGAGGTGGTTGTACTCAGGGAATTTGTGAGGGAGAAGTTCGTATGGAGATTTGAGTTTGGTTGTTTTTGACGGAATGCAATTTAAGAGGTATGTGGCAGCTAGTACCACTGCTGTCCAGAATTTGTAAGGAAGATGAGCGGTGAGGAGAAAGATTCGGGTGATCTCGATGAGGTGACGATGTTCTCTCATGGCAAACCCATTTTGTTGGGGTGTATAGGGACAGCTGAATTAATAAGTTATGTCGTGAGAGTTTAGATAGGTTTGCAATGAATGGTACGTGTATTCGCCACCTCCATCGGAGCGTGAGGTTTTTATGTTGGTGTTGAATTGATTTTGAATAAGTTCATGGAAAAGAAAAATTTACGTGTTATTTCAGATTTTGCAAACATAGAAAACACTCAGATAAATCTAGAGTGATCATCAATAAAAAAGAAAGTATTTATAACCTTGTAAAAATGGAGTGACATCTGAATGAACAAGATCGAAAAGACATGAGGGCTGAAACAGAAGTAGTAAAAAATTGTTGATGACTCTTAGAAGAGCTACATTCATTACAATATAAAATAGAAATTGGACTAGCTTTAATATTAGTTGTCTAGAGGGTGGCGGTGGTGATAGCTTGATGTGGATGCCCGAATCGTCAATGCCAAGAAGAGCGGAAGGGGATGATGAGCGGGTTGTTGAAAGGGCAGAGAGATGAGATAGAGACCATTCTTGCTAGGTCCTTGCAGGAGGATGTGGTTGGTGCTCCAGTCCTTGATGACAAAGCCAATGGAGCGGATGAGATGCCACAGTTAATGTCAGATGGAAAAAAGTGTTCTGGTTTTTTTTTGTAAACTCAGAATCGCCAACCTATCTAACCATCGTCTTAGGATTTTGTTTCTATAGTGCCTTCTTACTTGAATCGTCGTAATAATTTCGAGAAGAGAAAGATTCAGAAAATGAGGAAAGTAAGATGAAAAATAGGCAGGCAAATTGAAAAAAGAACATGGAGAACTTATGTTGGGAAAAACCTCATGCGATGGGTCAAGAATGTATATCCAGAACGAAAACGGACTAAGACAAATTGAGACTCTCATCCACAAAAAAGAACCCTATATAACCAACTCATAACCAGAGAACAAAAAAAATTATTTTTGTTTTAAGGTCAAAGCACTCCCAAAGAGACATCCAATTTGATTAATTACAACTTGGGGAATACCCAAAAATACTCTCAATTAGAGAAGTCTTGATTGCATTAAAGTGACGACTAGTGAGAGGGTGTCAAAAAAGATTAATATCTCATATAAACGTCCAATGCCTTCAAAGCTCTTGCTAAGCCACATGGTAGATAATGAGTCTCTTGCAATCCCAAATGAGTAACGACTTATCAGCGAATGAGGCTTATGAAATAACAGACTCGTCATATAGGATCCACACTATGCTTTCAAGTCTATCTGATCTATAAGGATAGAAGGTGAATCACCGCATCCCAAACAAGTGACAGCTTGTCTACGAAAAGAAATATATGAAGCGTCAAAGAAGCGGCAGGGCTCAAAATGGGTATAGTGAAGGAGAGAGAGTAATTCTAATCGGGTAAAGATAATCATATCAGGATACCACGGATCCATCATCCCAAACAATTAGGACCTTAAATCTAATCTGGTCATGAAGGTAGCCGAACCAACACAGCCAAAGACCCCTTTGTCAGTAATCCATGAATTATGTCGTCCAAGAGCATCTCGATAGCCCTAAGATCAAAAGAAGTAAACTCTAAATCTTATGACCCTCTGCAGGTAAAAAGAAGAGCTTGGATTTATACCTGTCAAAGTGATGATGAAGCTGCTGGAGTAGAAAGGAAAGAGAGGTACGACTACGAAGCCGAGACGCTCTCACAAATGACTTATTACCCATTTGGGTCGGGGAAGCCTCTAACTCCCTAGGAGTGCTAAACAACCATCCAAGTAAAAATCTTGTGTTTGGCCAAACAGGTTAAAGAAGTGCAGGGACTTCTCCTCGAGACATGCAGAATAATACAGTGAGCTAACAAGTTCTAATATGACTTGGGTTATAGGGATGCTATGCATACCGTTTTAAATTCGACTCGAAGGTCATTCAGAAAAGTAAAAATAATTTTTGAGAAGTTGAGATGATTTTAAATTAAATTTTAATTAATCTCAATCTTTATTGAACTTTTGTAAAAAAAGTTATAATTATAGGTCCTTAAAGAACCTAAATTGCATTTATCAAATAATTCCAAAACAAGCTATAATCAAAAAAAAGTAAATGGCAAACACATAACAGGAATGTAAAGGAAAGTCAAATATAAAGAAAAAAAGATCGGTTGTCGTTGGGTCGGCAACCTATCCCAGGAAAGCAACAGGGCGGTCAAGCACCGCATATACACATCTGGTCCTAATATTATATATCAAAGATAAATCGGAATTAAGGTACGGGACACGAGCATACAGCTTATGGTTCCTATCGCGTGGCTCCACCCGTCACGCAGCTCAAAACCCGTATCCATATCTTATTTTTAATACGGACTTAACCTGCATTACAACGGAGTCTATACAAGTTATAGCAAGTAACACGAATTAAACCACGTCCGGCGGAAGGACAGCTAAGGAAGCACCTGTAGAAAAGGTGTTAGTCTTAATGATTAAGCTCCTCTGTGATGGACATGGCACCCTACAAGAATACCGCCCATATATATACTAGTGTGCAAGTCTCAAACTCGGTAAACACACAAAGTAGCACTCAAAATATTTAGTTACGACAAAAACCAAGGAACAATAGACATACATGAAAAATATTACCTAAGCACCCTGGTTGTAGCGTAGCAAAACAACTAAACGCAAGGTGTTCTAGTCATTGCATCTAAGTGTGTAGAGTGGGTAAGAGGTTGGTGAATTTTTCTAATAAGGACTCGACCAGCATTACAACGGAGTTCATACAAGTTATAGCAAGTAACACGAAATAAACCACGTCTGGCGGAAGGGCAACTAAGGAAGCACCTGTAGAAAAGGTGTTAGTCTTAATGATTAAGCTCCTCTATTATGGACATGGCACCCTGCAAGAAGACCGTCCATATATATATACTAGTGTGCAAGTCTCAAACTCGGTAAACACACAAAGTAGCACTCAAAATGTTTGGTTAGGACAAAAACTAAGGAACAATAGACATACATGAAAAATACCTAAGAACCCTGGTTCTAGCGTTGAAAAACAACTAAACGCAAGGTGACCGACAATGTCCCCATCTTAAAGATTCAAGGGTTCTAAAAGATGTCACTAGATGCAAGTTTTTTTTATGAACAAAAACTTGAAAAGATTGACCTTATGTATTGTCTAAGCTAAGGATGCAATAGTTTCAAAAGAGATTTTGAAACATGATGCATACGGGTAATAAAACTATTTTTTTTTAATTTAAAAATAGGTCCTAAGAGGAAAAAAACCTAAGTACAACATACGCGTGCTAATCACGATAAGATAACTGGAATTGTTGGTCGACACATCCTCATGAGCAACACATATTAACACATTGCAATTAGTAATGAGTCGCTCAACTAACAAGTGAGATTCGTCATCGAGACGATCAGGGATGCACATGCATATGCAATGTGATTCAATGCAATGTGAACACTCCGTCGAAAGAGAGATCACGAGATAACAAATATTTATCACGAGAATGACGAATACATCGATAGTGCAAACATGCAAGTGCAAGACACAAAAATGCAGTCATACACACACTTCATGCAAAAGAGCGTGCCCATGACAATGTGATGTGCTGCCATGGAGGAAGGGTAGTATGATTCGTGCATCAAACAAATTCAGTGGCTAAAAAGCGTGATGTGGGAAAGGTGAGAGTCATGTAATCTAGTAGAAATAAATTGTACATTAGATAGATTCAATGGCTAGGAACTGTGACCCATGCTAAGTGACACGATGAGAAGTGCAGGTGCACAGACACTATGCATTGGATGGTTTCAGTGGTTGGGGAGCGTGACTCATGTCAAGTAACGGTGCGACACACCTACGACGTTTCCAAGTGCTACCGCTGGAATTGAAATGGCGCAATTTTCAGTAGGTAGAATTGCGTCCCGTCTAGGCTTGATGTACAAGCCGTGCCCGAAAAGGACGCATGATTTTCTAAAGTGAGTGCGTGAGAACATGGACTCAAGTGAAGTCCTCAAACATGCAAAAATGCGAAAGTGCAAATTCAAAAACGCAGGGCGAGGTGCAGAGTGACGTGAGAATTTCAAGCAGCATATGCATAGAGTAATGTGCCCAAGTGAGGGACAAATACCTGCCCAAAAGTGCACAACAAGGTGCTAGTGCAAGTTCATGAGTGAATGTGCTAATGCAAGCAACTCAAAACACATGCAACAATGCAACAATCAATTGAGATTAGTCAATTGATACAATAGGGGCAATGGAGATCGATCGACCGAATCGACGGAAGAGGTCAATTGATATGATTGAGTCGGTGGTGTTCGGTTGATTTAGTCGATGGAAGTGGTTGATCCAGATGATCGGACTGGTGGCGACCGATCAATCGAGTTGATGAGTGGTCGATCGATACAATCAGTTCAGGTGGAGGTCGATCGATCCAATTGAAGGAAGTGGTTAATCAGGAAGATCAACCCAGTAGCATTCGATCAATCAAGTCAACAAAAGTGGTCAATCAGGATGATCAGACTGACTGAAGTGGTCGATTAACCGATCGGATCGGTTGCAACCAATAGATCATGTAGGTGAAAGTGATAGATTGACTAATTGAGCAAGTGGCAGTCGATCGATCGTGTCAGCAGAAGTGGTCGATCGCGTCGATGGTGGTCTATCAACGAAGTCGATAAAAGTGATTGATAGACCAATCGAGCAGTGGAGGTTGAGCGATTATGTCGACGTAAGTGGTTGATTGACCGTTTGGGCCATGGCGGCTGATCGAACATGTCAACGAAAGTGGTCGATCGAGACGATCAATCCAGTGATAGCTGATCGACCGAGTTAACAAAAGTGTCTGATTGACTGATCGGGCCGGTGGAAGCCAATCAATCATGTCGACGAAATTGGTTGGTTCAGTGATTGGGCCCATGACAGCCGCTCGATCATATCAACGAAAAGATAATTGATCGAGCCAATGTAAGCGACCAATCGACAACACATGCAAAAATGAATATTTTAGATGCACATTTTGAAATCATGCAAAGTAAATCACACGAATGCAACCACATGTAAGAAATGAAGCCCTGATCTCATGATGGAACGGACTCGTCCTAACGATCTCGCATGGTATCTAGGGTAAAGATAAAGTTGTAGTTATCGTCCGTTACACAAGGTGCGGAGGGTTTACCTCTAACGAAAATTTTTCTGTGGAAAGAAAAATTTCACAAAAATGAAAACCCTCTCCCACGGACCTAACCTTCGTGATTCAGGGAATGATGATCAAAGAAATTCCTCGATCTCTAGATCGATATGGCTTCAACCCGTTCATCAAGGGATACAGTCGTTGAATAACCATGGGATAACTAGGTTCTCAGTCGATAGTTCAATGTGCTAGGGATTGACGAGAACTCGCAAGGATTCATATGAGAATCAAAAAGCTTCTGACCTATGGGGCTTCCTCTAACAATAGCTTTGGTCTCTAAAACAGATCTTAGAGGACTGCTAGAAATGAAACACAAAGGTTTATAGAATTTCACCTTCGTGATGTTTGAGGTTGCATTCTCTTTGCCTGTCTAAGTTGTCGACGTCGAAACCACGCACCGATGTACCTCGCAAGACATGCATGGAATGAGGGAAGAGCGATTGAGATTACAAGTATTTGAAATAAATATCACAACATACAAAAATATGATCGGTGCCTACCTCCATGAGAGGGATTGCTCGGACTTCTAAATGCCGGAGGAGGCATCGCGGCTTCGACCGCGAGGGAAAGGAGGCCGTCGAAGGGAGGCAACTGCAGGTTGCTTTCTGGCGGCTCGGGTCGCCAGTCGCAAGGGCGAAGCAGCCCAAGGCTTACGGGCCGCAAGAGGCGAGCGACACAAGAGCGCTGCGAAGCTATGGCCTCAGGCGGAACAGAGAAAGGGGCCTGCCCTTTTTGTAATTGGAGTTGCAGGAGGGTGGAGCGTCGCTGACGGCAGACGGCACCGGCACGAGATAAGGAAGACCGAACGAGGGGACGCTACGCATCGAGCCTGAGAGGAAAAGAGGGGCCGGCTGTGAGGGGGAAAGCTCAGGCCTAGCATCTCCGATAATCGGCCAAGGATCCAGCGACCTCGGGAAGGAAGCCGCGAAGGCTACGAGAAAAAGAAAACCCCTAGCACACTCGCTCTGGCGGCAAAGTCGGGCAAAAGGGGGGAATGAAGCCTTGAGGAGAGGCTTACCAGAAGCCAGCACCGGACGGAGTGACCAGCGGCGAGGTCCGGACAGAAAGGATGTCGCCCGGGGGAAGCATGCGTTGCTCAGGACGGCTAGGGCAGGAGCACCAGGCCGACGGGGGCCGCCGACGAGAGGGGCGACCGGCAGTGCGAGCGCGAGGGAGCGGGAGAGTGGCGGCGAAATCCGGCCCGCAGGGCATCAGGCGAAGAAGACAAAAAGCACTCGGGGAAGAATTGAGTGATAGTTGGTATGAGGAAAAAATAGTTTTTCTTATATCAAAATATTTATATTCTTCCTTATTAATAATTAAAAGCATCGGTTTGTGTGTTTCCATTTGTCCTCCCTAAGCAAAATTAATTTTTTTGACTTGCTTGCACGGTATGTTTCACAATCCAAGGCATTTAGATAAATTCATCACTAATCGAGCTAATTTGAGTCTGATGTGCATACGAAGTGGTTTCATAGATTTCTCTAGTTGCGAAAAGTTACATATGAATGTTATAGAATGTCATATCGCTCAAGACGATATCCAATGAGTGTGACATCAAAAATTGGTGTCAACAATGAGATTGTGATTTAAGATTGGAGAGTGAGACATTATGGTGTTGGTATGATACCTTGCCCAGTGTGGGTGATTGAGAGTGGCTCGGGAAGGTGGAGCTTACATTATGGTGTTTGTATGATACCTTGCCCAGTGTGGGTGATTGAGAGTGCGGAGTCCTCTCTAATGAGAATCGAATCAAAGCCACTGTACTATTGAGCTTGCTAAAGGTGATCATAATTAGAGGTGAGATGGTTGGTTGCTCCCGAGCCTAGGAGCCATATTTATGAGGTTGGTTTGGTTGAGGTCATGAGCGTGGCTTTTTGTTTGGTAGATGAATATGAACTGAAATTGTTGTAATTCCTGTATTGAAGAGCACTATGACCAACTTTATCGTAGATTTGGCAGGACATACGGTTGGTGGCAGAACCCTCATTTTGGCCTCCTCTGTTTGAAGTTGATGAACTGTGAGTTCCCTTGTTGTTGTAGGAACGCCAACCACAACTACGGTGGTTGTTGTTACCACCACGAGTGGTTAATAGTGCCATAGAATCAATGCTGGTTTATTTTGTGCTTTTAACCAAGATATTTATCTCTTTGCTGCAAATTAAGAGGTACATGTCATCGAGTTTGATTAGTCCTAACCTGGTTCAGATGGCAGTTTTGAAGGATTGATATGAGGGAGGTAAATCATTGAGTATGTGGAGTATAATGTCCTCTTGTTCAATGTGGGCATCAGGTGTAGTGATAGTGTCAACTAGGGATTTGATGGTCAATGGGTATTGAGACATGTGATACACCAAAAATATATGCATTTTTAGACACATATTTCATACTCATTTTTGGTGATATTGCAATTTAATGGAAGGTATTTTTATGTTTTCTTGCAGGTAGTTGAATTTTAGGACTTGAAGCAAAAAGGATGAAATTTGGAGCAAAAATAAAGAAGTTGAAAATTTGTTCAGTGCTGATGGCGTCGTTTGACAGCGAGCAACAATTAATTAAATAAACACTGGCGCTGACTAAGCCAGAATGGGCGCTGACGACGCTTATGGTTGTTTAGGCCCTGTTTCTAGAAGATTCACGGCGTCGTTTGACAGCAAGCAGCAATTAATTAAATAAACACTGGTGCTGACTAAGCCAGAATGGGCGCTGACGACACTTATGGTTGTTTAGGCCCTGTTTCTAGAAGATTCAACGAATCTGGACGCTTTTTGAAGAGTTCTTGGATGCACATATTGGAGAACATACTCTAGGCTCTATTTGGGGTCGAAATTCATCAGAAAAAACTCTCTCTCTTGTGGTCTTTATTTGCCCCCTCTTTATTCCTCTTCGTCCCTCCTTGCTCATTTTTCGCCACACCTCGCCTCCATACATTTTTCCATTTTCATTCCACCATCATTTAGAAGTCTATTAGTGATTTTTCTTTAACAGTTTAGAGTTTTTGTGGTGAGATTAAGTGTGAATTCTTCTCTAAGAGTGTTGGAGAAAGAGAAAAGTGAGAGATTTCTTCTTCCTACATTTCCTATAAGAGGCTATAAGAGATTTGTTTTGAAAAAGAGTTTTAAATAAGCGTTGTTTGTTTGTTAGTATTGTATGAACTTTCTTTTATATATGAAATTTGTATGGTGTTGTATCTTTCTCATGAAGTCTGAGTAGTTTACTTTATCTTTCTCTCTACTCTGAGATTTGGTGAAATGAAGAGATAATATGGATATGCCAATATTAAAATATAAAATAAATTGTAATGATTTTTCAACTCCGAACTTAATTTACTTTTC